TCACCCATTCACACAGCTCTGTACTAGATCACCCATTCACACAGCTCTGTACTAGATCATCCATTCACACAGCTCCGTACAAGGTCACCCATTCACACAGCTCCGTACTAGATCGTCCATTCACACAGCTCTGTACAAGGTCACCCATTCACACAGCTCTGTACTAGATCACCCATTCACACAGCTCTGTACTGGATCACCCATTCACACAGCTCTGTACTGGATCACCCATTCACACAGCTCTGTACTGGATCACCCATTCACACAGCTCCGTACTGGATCACCCATTCACACAGCTCTGTACAAGGTCACCCATTCACACAGCTCCGTACTAGATCATCCATTCACACAGCTCTGTACAAGGTCACCCATTCACACAGCTCCGTACTGGATCACCCATTCACACAGCTCTGTACTGGATCACCCATTCACACAGCTCTGTACTAGATCACCCATTCACACAGCTCCGTACTGGATCACCCATTCACACAGCTCTATAGTAGATCTCTACAAAGATAAGTGAACAAATCATTCTAAATGGATTAATCCGAGCTCGATGACATTCAGACACCGATGGACACATCAGAGACGGTGTCTGTCTGTCTGGGAAGGAGCAGTACCACTTTCAGCCACTGATGGCAGCAGAGTATAGTAGCAGTGTGGCATGCTGTTGTATCATGTAATAGGTAAAGGTAGCCATAATGACAAATTAAAGTTCTATACAAGAACAACTGGACTTTATTTATTATACTTTATTATTTTTGTCTTGAACTTTTTTGAACTTGCCATGTCCTGAATGACTGAGACTCTTCAGCAACCATGAAAGAGAAACTCGGTCGGCCGTAGCACCCCACTGTGGTTCTGCTCGGCGCTTGGAGGACGTTAAACCAGCTGCACCGCCCCGCTGAAATGCAGCCGATTTGACCATTAAAGTGCATTTTTTAAGGAATAGTTCAACTGAGACACAGCTTTGCTATAATTTCGAACAAACCAATGTTTTTAAGTGTTATTCTTGTTTAATACTTGCTAAAGTCCACCCGTGCACGCTCCTGCAGCTGCCGTTTGGCAGCGCATTGGTTTCTGGCACAACATTTCCAGGTTGTCAGCGGTGACGCGTAACAAAACGCCACGCGACAGCGGCAACGTTTACTGACGAGCTGAAAAGATTAAACAACGATGTAAACAAATAGAACATTTATTTAAAACAATAATTTTAGGTTCCTTACTGTATCAAATGTTTTTGCATGGCTTTACATTTATACCAAAAATAGAAACACACAGGCGTGCATAACATTCTACAACTTGAATTAGCAGTATTAAGTTAGCTCAGCTGCCTGGATCTTTCTCAACAACATACAAATCTAGGAACAAATCGTTCATCCATCCTGCTGCTTCCTTTTATTTATACTGTAGAGTAGGATGCGTGAGTGCCGTAGTGTTGCCGTCTTCTGACGCATGCGCAACACGCCGTGTTCCGTCAAAAGTTTTTTTGTTTTTTCCGTAGAATGTTAAAGCGTTGGTCATCTTTAGAGAAGCCTGCTCTCTGATCTGTAAAAGAACGCTGTGTTGTGTGAGTTTACTGAGACCCTCTGGTCAGAGCCACAGACTCATGTTGTGTCAGCTCCATTAAAGCTGAAGGAGGCGCCCTCTAGAGGTTGGAGGGTGAAGTGCTTCAGTTGCTGCTCTGTTGCTCTTCATTTATTAACACTGGAAACTGTTAAGAGTTAACAACATATTCTTTTGTTTAAAACATATGGCTGAAACTACATTTGATACCTTCTGCACTGTTTTGCACTACAAGCAAGAAGCCTAATACTTGATTTGTTTATTATTTAAAAACTCTCTGGACCTACTAGTGGAATTTTATTAATTCAAAATATAATGGCAAAAGGACACCCTATGCTTTTTAAAAATTCCTATTGCGAGTTTTATACCAAAAACATATCACGATATATATTGTTATCGCCACCCTTCACAATAAATATCGTGATATGAATTTTATGCCATATCGCACATTCCTACTGTAAATGCAGACGTAAATAAAAACTTCATCCTACCATAGTACATTAACCTTTAACTCAATATAAAATACAGACTTCAGTTATTTTAACCATATTGTTCTAATGTTTGTTATATTTTCAAAACTTAACCCAACATAAAAATATACAGACTTCAGTCTTAACCATATTGATTCATGTTTAGTAAATCTTTAACTAAATTTAAAAACCTGTGCAAACCTGCACAAAAATATCTAAACTATAATTTATAAACATAAACTGTCTCATTTAGAACTGGCTCCAGATGTGTCTCATCTCTTCAACCTGTTAAAAAGACAAATTACATAAAGTTTGCTTCTCCCACTTTATTTTAGTTTCATGGTGGAATTGTGGCACAGCTTAATCACTAAAAGCTATGTGAAGGCTTAACGTGTGTTGTATATAATTTCTATCTTTTCTACCGTGTACCGTTTATATCGCACATTCCTACTAACAATAATAAAAATCTTAATAAATACAAGAACAGTCAGAACCAGAACAATAAGCAGCAACACACTGTTTACAATCTAACTAATCAATTTTTAAGTTTTTGGACAAAAACACCAACTTGTCCACATTTTCTGTCAAAACCTGAGATCTAGTTGCAGTGAATATCTCCAGCGGTGGAGAACAGCTCTCTCTAACAACAGTAGCAGGAATAGAGAGGTAGAGCTTTGATCATGTTGCAGTGTGGCTGGATTTGGTCTCATCACAACCTCTTGGACCTGACGGGTGGGTCAGGTCCCTGG